ACTTTCAACTCGAGAACCAGAAAAGCTAGAAGGCTGAAACTTTGGGAGTATGTGTCCATACCACGCGCGACCATCCTGTTTTAATATCATCCTCCGAGGACGTCTGGGTGCCACGTGCTGATGCTTTAAAAAAATATGCAACTTTTCTGGCGGGAAAGTGATCTCGGGAACCAGACAAGGCAAGGGGCTGAAACTCTGTAGAGATATTCCCTGTGTATGTGTTAGCAAAAGATTTCAAATTCAGCCCTTAGCTATGCGTGGTACTCACGAAGGGGCGTATGAGAGTTTCTGTGGGAAAATTACTAATTCGGGAACCAGAAAAGATAGAAAACTGAAATTGTAGGGGAATGTTCCCTGTTCAAGCGCAACTTAAGTATTTTTAATTCAGCTCTAAAGTATGTGTAGTTCTTACGCACGGACACTTAAATGCTTTGGCGGAAAAATTTCTCACTGAACAGCTAGGTTACTTTTAAAGAACGGTCGTTAAGTGGAAATTGTACATCTTCTTTATGCAAAATTTATGGTGATTGGTGTTAGCGGCTGCAAAATGTAGGTGTAAAGCATGTGTGTATGTACTGTCTGCCCAGATATTTCAACTCGACAACCAAACAAGCCTGGACGCTGAAATTTTTTCAGTGAAGTTCCCTGGCCATGGTGCAGCTCCAGTGTGATATCAACTTCTATGCATTTCTGCGTCTTACGTACAGACAAGTGAAATTTTTGATGGAAAGATTGCCAATTCGAGAATAGGAAAGACAGAAAGCTAAAATTTTTAGGAAATATTTCACATCTGCGTACTAGTCAAAGATTTTAATTTCAGCTCTTTAGTACACCTAATTTAATTTACAGGCACATGAAAATTTTGGAAAGAAAATCGCTAACTAGGGTAGGAGGGAAGTACAAAAATTTTAGAACATTCTCTTTCCGAATATGACATTAACGTTTCAAATTCAGCTTGCAAGTATGTCTGGGTCTTATATACGAGCAACTGAAAGTTTTGACGTAAAATTTGCTAACTCGGAGCTAGTGAGCTACGGAATACTGCGCTTTTACCTACAACACAAAAATTTCAAATTGTCCCTTAAGTAAACCTGGGTTTCAAGTGGGCTCCAAAACGTTTGGCCCAGACATCTGCTAAACAGTATCCTCATACTACAACAATGGCTTAGGCTAGCCGAGAAAAGCCAACGTACCGTTTCAGTGCCTTTGCCCGACCGCCAGCAACGCCTGACGTTGCAATATCACTCTGTCTCGATGCGTGCCCTGCAATGTTGCTACAACCATTTACCGTATTCTGCCCTTCTGCACCTTTTTTCGGTTTCTTGCGTGGTTTATACTTATAGTCCGGATACTCCTTCATGTGCATAACTCGCAAACGCTCCGCTTCGGCGATATACGGTGCTTTTTCACTGTCCGATAGCTGACGCCACTGCAGTCCGAGCTGAAGTAACAAAATAAGCGGCAGCAGAATTAGACCTTTCTGGATCGAAATCCGAAATATACACACGTATTCTTTAAAAAAGACAGGAATTAATCGTAAAATAATGCTTTGGTTGCAAGCTAAGCAAACAAAATCAAGAGGGGAAATTGGAGAGAAGATCTAGGATAAGTTCAATCGATAAGCCTGCTTCCATGAGACGACAGAAGAGGGTCAGAAGCCAGATCAGCATATGCTTGTCAGAGAATAACAGACAAGATGTAAGAATGATGTGTATTTTAAAAAAATCTAAGCGCTGACAAAAGAAAGGGTGAAGAGAAAAATAGAATTAAATTTGTTATAAATTGAAAAGTATGTAACACTTCCTTTGGCTATGATTCCTGTGACACAAGGACCTACAACGTACTGAAGCTCTCGATGGCGTTAAAGGCAATCGTTTGCGGGGACAGGTTGCTATTTCGGAAAAGTTTTGATGCGACGATAAAAATATTAACAGTTTCATGTGTTGCTTCGATTATGTAATTAATTCAAGCGGTAAAGACATTATCAAGCGATTACAGGTAGTTAGAAAACCGCTGAACTTTCTGAGCAGCGACGGACATACGAATCCGACATCTGGCCTGTTATCCCCCAGCCCACTTACTCGCTCTGTCCTGGTTCCATCACGACATGTACTGACTATGAAACCGTTGTTATTCTAAAACATTGCTAATTCGCCACATCATCTCGAAAAAGATCAGTGACAGTAGCGGCTTCGCATCAAATTACTTCTCTCAGTTAAAGAAGTCTGCGGTCAATCTCTCCAACCCGCTTCTTCTACATTCTGTAATTAAAACTGCAGATGCCTTTTGTGCAGCGAGGGTTCACGCGGCTAACATTTCTAAACCTAGTCGAAAGCGTACCAGTTGCCGGTACGAGGATGCGTTTTTTGCACAGTTCCCCCCGCAGGTTTTTTTCGCCAGCGGCACGTTC